ACGAATGACGCCCTTGACGGCGTATGTGGCGAGATCGTGCCTGTTCCCGCTCACGAGACCGTACGTGAACCTTGCACGCGGAAACGTGACGGCAAGCACGCTCGGGAGGTGGTCGTTGCCAACAATGTAGCGACCAGAGACCACCCGCACCTTGATGGTGGGGAAGAGCACGTGCAGCCAGCCAAACGTCGTGCGGCGTGCTGCCTCATCAGGTGCAACGGTTGCGTCATGCCCACGCCCCCGCGTTGCGTCATGCCCGCCCGTGCCCGCCTGGCTCACGCTCGCATCCATGCTGCTGTTCCACTCGCCATCATCAAAATCGCGCGGTGGTGGTGGCGATCGAACATGTTGTTGTTCCTGCTGCTGGTCGTGTGCTTGGGAAGGGTCGTCATCACCGCTATCTCCACCGCCAACAACACCAGCACCCCCGGTATTGTCAGCGCGCATGTACGGCACTGCCGGTGGTGACAGTGAGTGTGGCGCGGTGGGTGTGGCTGGCGCAGTTGCTGGCCGGGAACCCATGATACCACTGCGTGGTGGCGGTGGTGGCGGTGGTGGCGGCAGCTGTTGCTGTAATGATCCCATCGATGATATGGGCGACGCCAGCACAGGCGGGCTCTGCTGTTGCTGTTGTTGTTGGTGTTGTTGCTGCTGTGAACGCTGGGATTTCGGGGATGGAGAGTGTGAGCGTGGCGGTGGCTGTGGTGGCGGGCCCAGCGTACGCCGCTGTTGTTGTTGTTGTGTATGCTGTTGCTGTTGTTGCTGTGGCTGTGCGTGTTGCTGCCGTGGCTGTGCGTGTTGCTGCTGTTGTGGTGGTGTCGCCTTATCTCGGTGTCTGTCGGCGACATACGTGTGCTCAACGGGCACAGAATCCGAATGCGAAGCGACAGATTCGCTTGAGTGTGCGCGTGGATGGTGGATTTCGCTGCTGCTGATGCCGAGGTGCGTTCGTAACACTGGGGGGCGTGTGGCAGCAAATGTTTTGCGTTGTGCATGAATGAGAATGTGTGTTGGTGTGTGTTTGACTGTGCTAACATACAGGAGCGACACACGTTATTGCAAGCAAGCAAGCGGGAAGGTTTGCACAGTCTTGCATAGACACCACAGCACTGACACACACACACACACACAAACACACTGACACGCACACGCACACTGACACACACGCACGCACACTGACACGCACGCACACTGACACACACACACACTGACGCACACACCTCCATCCAGGATTTTGCGGAGTTCGGCGTATTTCGCGTCGTGATTGTAGACGTGATATGAGAGGCCGTTGAGTTGCAGGATCATGCGCGATGATTTGGCTATGCCAGGCTCATCTCGATCAACAGCAGACCAGTAACTGTGGTGTGATACACCAATATTCGTGTGAGGTTGTGCAAACAATGAGGCGCGCTTCGAAACACGAACGACTGTGTCTGTGAAGGCGACGAGCTGCGCCCAACACATGGGATTTCGCACACATCCATGTACACTGACACACACGCACACACACACACACACGCACGCACACACACACGCACAAACGCACGCACGCACACATAAACGCACACACACACGCACACAAACGCACGCACACATAAACGCACGACCCACCTGATGCGGAAGTAACCGTCCACGATGGTAATAGCAAAAGAGGTGGTGACGAAGCGAATGTCTCGAAACACGATGCGACCGGCAATGGGAGAGATGTACACGCTGCCGATGTTGAGGAACATGTTGGAGTCCTTGAGGCGCAGCTGCCACTGCAGCAGCTTGGTGAGAACAAAGCCAATGCACCGCGACACGTAGAAGGTGAGGAACAGCACCCAGATCACGCACGCCGCAGACAGCAGGATGGTGAACGGCAGATCCTCCGGCAGCTGCTCGCCAGTCACCGTCGAGTTGGCTGTCGTGGAGACGTTCGTCGAGACATTGAACATGGTGCTGGTGGTGCTGTTCATCACACCAAAAAACATGGACGAAGATGGAGCACCGCTCATGATTGCTGGTCGTCTACTGCTACTGCTACTGTTTCTGCTGGCTCCTGTCACTTGCGGCTACGGCGCAATCGTGTGCCGTGTCCCGAGCAGCCGCTCTGAATCACCATGTGCCAGGCTTTGCTGGAGAGAGAGGAGGGGTGATGTGATGTGATACTGTGCTGCCAATAGTCGCACACAAACGGTTGCTTTCGTTTCCTCTGCTCTGCGTCTTCTTCTTGCTTTCTTTGCCTGGCGCGCCGTCCTCTCGATGAAAATTATGTATGTTTTACTGCAATTGTCCAAACTCGCCTTTTGGCTTTGTTCGCAACTCATTCTTCCCACGCCAAGCGCACAAGAGCCTGCTGAAGTGCACAACAACTCAGCAACTCGACTCAAACACACAGAGCACAGAAGCACACAAACACACAAGCACGCACTCAACACGCAAGCACGCAGGCGCACTGCGTCGCTGTCAATCACGCGCCTTGCCTGATCCACCAACCACAACAACCTCAAGAAGAGAAAACTATTCAAGCCTCAAGACAGCTTCCCTAGCTTCCAGTCCGGCGAGCTGTCTCCTCTCCCCCCTCAAGTCTCCCACACCTCCCACACAAACACGACAGCGACAATGACGACCACCTCCTCCTCCTCTTCCTCCCCCTCCTGCAATCTCCCCCAGTTCCTCATCACCATCGTTGCGCTTTCCTGCACCTTCGTTTCCCTCGCCAGCCTCCTCAGCGCCACTGCTGCTGCTGCTGCTGCAGAAACAACAACATCCACAGCAACCACCCTGCCCAAGATCGAGGTTGACGACAGCAACACAAACTTGGTGCTTGCAAGCAGGCTTGGGTTGATCATTCAAGTCGGGACAGAGCTGGAATCCTCAGAGGAAGGGGTGATGAACGATGACGATGAGGGGCAGGAGCAAGCACCAAGCGTCGTCTCCGTCTTCCTCGGTGGCGTGGATCTGGTGGCCGCGCTATCTGACATTGCCGAAGGTGCTGAAGCTGTGCTTCTGGCTGCTCGCAACTACGACGACCCACAAGCCCCAAATAACGCCGTGCCTTCGCTCCTGGCCATGACAGACCTGGCCCCACCGCTGCCCCCAACAACTCCCCCGCTGCTCCATCCGTTTGTTGCCTCGGACTCGGACGGATACCTCCACATTCAGGCAACGACAGGGAGCGTGTACTTCCCCGCAGATGCGCTGCTCGTCAACAACAACGTCAACCTCACGGCCACCCTCACCTCCCTCGCAGGCAGCGTGCTGGAGCTGAAGGGGCGCCTGAGCTTCCTGACCGGCGGTGCCACCAACGTACCAATCGCTCCGTTCTCCTTCGCGACACCCCCGTGGCCCCGGCTTTCGCGATCACCAAGCGGCAACGACATTGGCCTTGAGGACGACGCTCTTGACCAGGGCGGCTTGGTTGCGGACGGCGACGGGAACCTGTTCATCCTTCCCCACGACATGCAACATGGCCGCGTTGAAGTGAACGTGGGCGACCTTGGCGATGACAGCGCACAAGCCGATGACAGCGACAGCGACCCCGGCATATTCGCTGTCGGCGGTGTGAATGTCCTCGGCACCCTCGATCGCGTGCGCTCCGCGCTGGACGAGGCAACGGAGCGCCTCTTTTCTTGCAAGAACACGACGACAGCCACCCTCGACTGTTCAGACACCATGTCGCGGGAGGCCATTTCAACATCGCAGTACTGCGGGGTGCAGGCGGTTGCGCACTGCTGCTGCCCCACATTTCTGACCCTGTCGCGTGTGGTACAGGACGTGCATGTGGAGCGCACGACGCAGGCGCTCGAGTTTGGCAAAATCACCGAGATTGGCGGCTCCATCTTGGCCCGCTTCTCGGATGAGCCGGGCCTCATCTCCAGCGTGGACTTTGGCGGCCTACAGCGTGTTGGCCGCCACGTCGATTTTGGTTACAACGCCATCACGTCCTTGGACTTGGGCGGCGTTCGCAGCATCGGTGGCAAACTGGACCTGTACAAGAACCTGATCGAGGTCATTGACTTTGGTGCGCTCACGTCGCTCGGTGACTTCGTGCTGAGCCCAAGCAAAGTGACCACGCTCTCCTTCAAGAACGTGCTCCGCATCGGGCAAATCTACATGTTTGAGAACGCGCTGCAAGCTCTTGACTTTGGCAACATCACCACCATCACCGGCACCGTGAACATCCGCGACCACGACATGCAGTCACTCAGCTTCAGGCCCGTTCAACGGGTGGGCGGCATCGACTTGAGCCTAGGCGCCTCGTTGACGTCACTTGACATGGCAACCGTGATCCGCGTCGATACGTTCATTACGCTGGATCAAACAAAGCTGCAACAACTCAACTTTGGCGCCCTGCGGTACATTGGCGGGTCGCTGACGCTGTCCAGGAACCATCTGTATGAGATTGATTTCGGCCTGCTGGACTATGTCGGCGAGAACATTGCCCTGTCCAACATGCTTGCCCTGGTTGCAATCACGTTCGGAAAGCTGCGCCACGTCGAGGGCTCGCTCATCTTCACAGACACGCAGCAAATGCGGGAGCTGGTCCTGGAGCCTGTGCAGTCGATTGGCAACAACCTGCAGATCATGCGCCACGGTAGCCTGAGGGTGGTTCACATGTCCTCTCTCACGCGCGTCGGCGGGGAAGTGCGCCTGGCCGTCACTGGGCTTGACCGTGTCCACTGCGGCAGCCTGCAGCACGTGGGCCAGTCCTTCATAGCTCGCGCTCACCTGGCACTCGCCTCGCTCAACTGCAGTCAGCTGACACAAGTTGGGAAGAGCTTTGATGTCAGCAACTCCTTGCAGCTGACCAGCGTGGATCTGAGCAGGCTTCAGCGCGTCAATGACAGCCTCCTGCTTGCGAGCACAGGCCTAACCACACTGGCTGCGCCCCGCCTGCGTGTGGTGAACGCGAACGTGCTTGCCCGAAACACCATGCTGCAGCACGTTGACTTCAGCAGCCTGGAGGAGGTGGGCGGCTCCCTGCAGCTGGGTGGCAATTCATTGCGCAACCTGACCCTGGGCAGGCTCCGCAGCGTGCAATTGGGCATTGTGCTGTCTGGAGGCAAGCTGGAGTCCATTGACGTCTCCACGCTGGAATTGCTCACGGGCGGGCTGTTTCTGGACGGCAACCACCTCACCAGCATCGCCTTTGGACCACTCACACGTGTCAAGGGCGCGCTGCGGCTCGAGGAGAATCGCCTGACGCACGTGGACTTTGGCGCCATTTCCCAGGTGGACGGTGACCTGCGGCTGGACGGGAACCTGTTCACGACCATATCGTTGGCAAATATTACCCACATCAACGGGCAGCTGAACTTGAGCAACAGCCCCAATCTTGTCAGCATCACGCTTGGGCCAGGAAATCTTACGGTGCTTCACAGCGTGATTCTCACGAATACCCCGCTACTATCACTGTTTGATTGCCAAGGCAAACTCACAGCCACGTGCGTGGACATCTTGCCACGTCACACCACGCTCATGAATTGTCCCCCGCCATGCTAAGAAGGGGTGTGTTGTGGGTGGGGTGGGGGGAGGGTTGCAGTGTGAGAAAAGTAAGTGTGTGTGTGTGTGTGTGTGTGTGTGTGTGTGTGTGTGTGTGTGTGTGTGTGTGTGTGTGTGTGTGTGTGTGTGTTGATCTTTGGTCGCAGCGACTCCTTTCTCTCCTCATGCCGTACGCAGTGGCCATGATTTGACCCTGTGAACTGTGTTGGACTTGTCAGCAGTGTAAAATGTGCGGCTGAGAACTCAAGCACACGCAGGGCAAGGGTCATCACACACTCACCCAAACAATCACAGGCGATGAAACGATGCACGATGACAAGGGGAAGAACAACCCGAACAGAACAACGCAGGTGCCGTTAAAGTAACAAAAGGAGTGCACCACAGGGAGTCAAACGCCATCCATCGTTTGGTCAGCAGCAAGCAGGAACAATTTGACATGTGGCGAGGGGCAACACCACCTCACATAACCAGAGAACATGACCATGGCGGAAGGGTGAACAAAGGAAGAAGTAATGTCAATGTAACCAACAGATGCGATGGCTTGAAAAAAAGAACAGACACACACACACACAGTCACACACACACACACACACACACACACACACACACACACACACACACACACACACACACACACACACACACACACACACGCACCCACACACACACACGCTATCAAGCAGTCGCAAGTCATACGGCCTGCTGTTCGGCCAGGCGTTTGTTTTTGAGCTCTTCGAAGCTTGGACGGTGGGCTGGGTTGTCTGCCATGCACGTGTACGCCAGCTCTTTGTACCACTCGGCAACAGCGAGCGGCTGGCCGTCTGTTTGAAACCATAGAGAAGAGGACGAGGGAGGGGGCGTCAGTGGCAAGATGCTGCAGTAATTGGGGTGTGGGAAACAAAGCAAACCGCATTTCACGTGCATGTGCTTGCTTGCACAGACGCACAAACAGCCACACACACACACACACACACACACACACACACACACACACACACACACACACACACACACACACACACACACACACTCACACACTTAATACAAACACACATTTAAGGTTCCACTGACCAAAGTCCTCGAAGCGGAGGCGCTTGCCCTCCTGCAGCAGCGTCGTCTGCATGGGCCGCGGTGGCCCGCGATACTTGGGCTTCTCCTGTGCAATCAAGTCTGGCTCCCGCTGCGTCGCCACCTCCCACATGAGCACGCCAAAGCTGAACACGTCTGCCTTGGCGTTGTACGTCTTGGTCAGCAGCGCTTCTGGCGCCATGTACATGGGCGTGCCAACACCCATCGTCATGTCACCGCGTCCACCACCACCAAACGACGTCGTTACAGTGCCATCGCCCCTGTTGCCATCCTCCATGTCATCACGATCATCATCGTTGCCGTCCGTTCCTCGCTCGAGACACTCGCGAATGGATCCAAAGTCCGTGATCTTCGCCCGCAGCCGCGAGGACACCAGCACGTTGCCGCTCTTCAGATCGCTGTGTGTATGTGTATGTGTATGTGTGTGTGTGTGTGTGTGTGTGTGTGTGTGTGTGTGTGTGTGTGTGTGTGTGTGTGTGTGTGTGTGCGGTGAGAACAATCGGTGAGGGTAGGATCGCGCAGTGAGCAAGAAGCACGTGCCCGCACACAAACACACACACAAGCACAAAAGCATACACACACATATCCCACTCACCGGTGCATCTGGTCGAGGCTGTGGATGAACGCCATGCCGTTGGCAACGTCACGAAGCAGCTGCAACTTCAAGTCCCACACACTCATCATCTCATCAAGCTCCAAGCTGGTGCGGTGGCTCTGAAGCGATGTGCTCACAAGTGTCAATTCCTCACACAGGTCAGCGGTGAGCAGCTTGTTCTTCTCGCCATCACCATCGTCATCGTCGTCATCATCGTCATCGCCGGCTTCGAGCACCTGAGCCCGCACCTCATGCAGCACTGCGTCCATGTCTCGCTCCAACAGGTCCTTGAGCGACCCCAACGACACAAACTCCAGCACCAGGAACGGGCTGCCGTTCGTGTTCACGCCAGCACCAAAGAACCGCACCACGTTCGGGTGCCGTGTCCGTTGCAGGAACTCCACCTCGTTGCCAAAGTCGGTTGCTGTTGCTTCATCATCAGGGGAGAGCGTGCGCTGCAGCACCTTCACCGCCACCGTCACCGTGTCCCACTCGGCCTTAAACACCACGCCATAAGCACCCGCAGCAACACGCTTGATCATCCTCAGCTCATCGTACTCAATCACCCACGCCCGCTTCAGCGCCTGCACCTCCTCCCTCTCCCTGTTCAACAGCTGCTGGTGCAGGCTGTCGCTCTTGTGGGAGCGCCAGTAGCGGCGGTAGAGCCAGACCAGCAACGGGATCGAAAGTGCAAGGACAGCGAATACGGAGCCCGCCACGATGGCTGCCAAGGGCACGACATCCTCCACACACTCCTCGCCACTCAGGTGGTGACCCTGTGCACAGACGCAGCGGAAGGAAAACACAATCTCTGTGGTCAACACGGATGTATCGGTGCGAGGGCGCAAGTCCTGGTTGGAAAGCTGGAGTGCGCAGTCGATGGGAGCATCAGTCAGCTGGAGAATGGGTGGGACACGCCGGTTTGGAAGCAACAAGATCGGCTGTCCAGAACTCTTCGTCGGACATGACAACTCTTCTCTCCGCCACGCGGTTGATCTCTGCTGGATTGTTAAGCCAGGCGTTGCCCGAGAGATCCAGCACATCCACTTGCTGAATGCAGTTTGTGAGCGGACCAACAGCCTGCTCAGAGCGGAAGGCCTTCTCATTCAAATTACGGGCGAAGAGGACCCGTCGTCCCCACCGCGTGCACAGTGCGCCCGTTGGCGGGAATTTGGTGTTGCTGATGTCGAGGATGTCGATTGGAGGCGCGTCGATGGAAGTGAGCTGAGTGCAGCCTGACACATTAAGCTCCTGCAGCGGGTTGTGGACGGTAACAGATCGTAGATGCCTGTTGTCGTTGAGAAGCAGTGACTCGAACGTCTTGTCCGGGCACAGCTCGATCACTCTGTAGTTCGTGTTGGCGATGCGCAGCTCACGCACACTGTTCTTCAGCATTCTGCACACCTCAGTGATTGGCAGCGTGCGGTTCATGGCGCCCGGCCAGCCCACGTGCAGCACATTGAGACTTAGCGGTGGAAGGTGCTTGAATGATGGGACCGCAGCACTGACGTCCACATTCTCCAGACTCAGGGTTGACAACGGCGCAATGTCGGCAATGTTAGTGTCAGTTAAAACTACCCTGGAATTCGCTTGGGGGAGAGCATCAAGCTCGAGCACCTCGAGGCTGGGCAGACGGAGCAGTGGCGCCAAGTCCATATGTTTGATTCCGTGGTTTTGCAGCCGGAGGGTTTCAAGGGAAGGCGTGAGCGTGACATCTGGCAGCTCCTGCATCGGATTGTCGTCAAGGCCGAGAAGGGTCAGGGAGGGCAGTGTTCTGGTGAGCTGCAGACGTGTAAGTTGGTTGTTCCCGACATCAAGGAACCGAAGAGAAGACAGCTGTGCCATTTCAAGCACGTTGTCGATGGAGCGAAGGGCATTGCCTGTCAAGGTCAGGCGCTTCAACATCGTAGTATTCGCGAATATGAATGTTGGGAGTGTTTGAAAGCGGTTACCCTCAGCCCCAAAAATTTGTAGACGCGTACATGTCTCGAGAAGTCCTTCTGGAAAAGAAGTAAAACCATTTTGACGCACATCCAGAAACGTCAACGCCGTCAAGTCCTTGAACACGCCTGGCGGCAGGGACGTCAATCGGTTCTCGAAAATCTGCAAGTGATCCAACGACGACAGGCCAGAGAAGACTGTCTCATCTAGGGACCTGATGAAGTTAATTGCCAATTCCAGGCGAACAAGACGGGTGGTGTTTCGGAACAGTGTGGCTGGTAATTCGGTGAGGAGCGTGCGCTCGAGGGTGAACCGCTCCAGCATGGTCAGCTGCGCGAATACATCGGCGTCAAGCTTCGTGATTGGGTTCTGCTGCAGCTGCAACGTGGTAAGGCTCGTGAGACGATGGAACAAGCCGGAGGGGATGGCGCTGATGTCGTTGCCGAAAAGGAGCAACCTATTCAGGGCAGTGAGGTCATCAAACGCTCGCGACTCGATCTCGGAAATGATGTTCTCACTCAGGGCAAGCTGTTGAATTAATGCCAGTCCTTGAAAAGTGCCATTGTTGATGCGACGGATGCGGTTCTGGGGCAAGTTGATCACCCGAAGCGATATCATGCTCGAAACGTCTGGAACGGATGTCAGCGAGCAATCGATAACATGAAGTGCCGCAATTCTCTGGCTGTTTTGAAACTCGCTTGTGCTCACTTCCCATAACAGCAGACTGTCGCGGATAACGATCGTGTTCACGCTTGTCATCGGGTTGAGGATGCTCAACTGAAAGGTCGGAAACTGCACACCAATGACCGAGAATGAGCGGCAGCCGGCCCACACGCCATTGTTCACAATCCACTGCAGCGGTGCTTCTTCGACGTGCCCACTCACGGTCAGCTCGAAAACAAAGGTGGAAATGGCACGCAGCCTGCTTGCATCCGTGCTGTCATCCACGTGATCACCCTCGCGCACAATGATGGTGAGCCTCCCCCGATTATCCGCACTCGGGCACGTGCCATCAACCACGCTCACCAGCGTGCATTGCCCTGCGCGTATGACAGGGTCGTCGTTCCGTCGCACTCGCCTCTGCTGCTGTTGTGGTTGCTGAAGGGATAATTTGCCTGTCGCGTTGCGGATAGCGTTCACCCTCTCTTCCAAAGGCGTGAATGCTGATGGTGTCGATGACACTGATGGTGTCGTCTCGTGTTGCTCTGTGCCAGTCCTTGCAGGCAAGCTCTCATCAGTCTGCTTGTCCGTCTTCTCGTCCTCTTGATCGCCACACCCAAACGCAGCCATCATGCGGTGAATCGGAGACAGGTCAACCAGCAAAGGAAGCCGTGCGTCTTTGTGCGTCGTTGTGTTTGCAGGCGTGCTGTCGTCCGTGTTGCGCACAGTGTGCCTGGGGTAAAATGGCACATCGTGCACCTTCAGCACACGCACCATGCTCTCCAGTGTCCCGTGCACGTCCGAGCACAGCTAAGTGGAAACCAGGAAACCGTGATGGTTTGCACATGAGATGTGTGTGTGTGTGTGTGTGTGTGTGTGTGTGTGTGTGTGTGTGCGCGCGCGCGCGCACCACAACAAGGACAACAAGGGCAACAAAGCAAGGGCAACAAAGGACAGCTGAAGCAAGCACCTCTGCACCTGGTTGTCTCGTGACGCTGCGGTTGCTGGAGTTGCGTGCATGGCCATCGTGCTAACGATCACCGCACACAATACCATGACCACAGCCATGGTTGCCGTTGTTGCTGGTGGTGGCCTTCCTCGCATGGCTGTGGCGAGGAGGGAGGAAGGTTGTTTCTTTGCTTGCGTGTTGTGTGACTGCTGTTGTTGGTCGTGCTGGCTGGGTGGCTTGCTTTGTTGTGTGGAAAAACACGTAAAATCTTCAACGACTTTCGACGCCTTTGTTCTTATCGGCAACTTCCACCACACAACACACACAACAACACTCCCTTCCTTCACTGTCGTCCTTTACTGTCTTCCTCTTGGTTCTGATGCGGTGTACTTTGTGAGAACGCAAAACACCCCAACACAAACAGCAATTCATCAACAACGCAAGAAACAACAACTGAAGCGGGCAACCAACCTCTCCTGATATCAACCAAAGCAGCAACACACACACAAAAGCAACAACCTACAAAGCAGGTGGCGGGGGTGGCAGTTTGGACTGTGCGTTGATCGTACAGCACGCCTCCATGGTCTGCCTGCACAACGCACAGCTCTTCTGCTCCACACGGCCACAATTGCGCGCGCCCGACCTGCAAATCTACTTGGGCCCATCCCTGTAAAGGTGGAAGAGGAGGAGGGGCAACGACAAGCAGGAGGGAGAACAAACACCAACACCAACACCAACACAGTCACGCACGCATACAAGCAGGACACCGAGATGGTAACAACGAAAGATGGGGATTCCACAAAGGAGAACAGATGATTCTAAGCAAAGGTGGCGTGCGAAAAGCGGGGGCAAAGAGATGGCAGCGCTAATGCCAACCAAACACACAACGGACACACAGAGCGAGCAAGGGAGAGCGCCCGCCCTCTGCCACTTCACATGGGTTTGGTGGCAATGGGGCGGTGCACGCTGTGCACGCAAAACAAGCAAGCAGGCAAACAGGATTGGGTCGCGGAAGTAGTGGTGAACTCATGCGCATATATGTACATTGGCATGCAGCCGCATCACACATGACTATGCACGAGTGTCATGTCGGCACGGCTTGTTGGGGGGGGGGGTAATGTGTGTGCTTGCATGCGTTTGTTGTCTTACCGTTGGTTCTCATGGTCGCGGATGTATTCACGCAGGTTCTGCCACCCGCCGCCCACACGCGCCATCACAACCTGCAGTATGTGTGTGTGTGTGTGTGTGTGTGTGTGTGTGTGTGTGTGTGTGTGTGTGTGTGTGTGTGTGTGTGTGTGTGTGTGTGTGTGTGTGTGTGTGTGTGTGTGTGTGTGTGTGTGTGTTGTGTGTGTGTGTGTGTATGTGTGTGTGTGTGTGTGTTAGAATAGCATTCCACAAGCTCACACAACCGAGTCAATCAGCAAACAAGCAAGAAGCATCAGCACTGCAACCAGGACCCACGTTGCCAACGGTGCGGATGTGCACAAGCTTGGAGTCACCGAAGAAGCGGTACTGCTTTGGCTGATGGCGCTCAACGGAGCCAGCCGCAAGGTGCATGTCTGCATGAAAACACACACGACGAAGGACGCGAAAAGCAAACGGAGTGACAGAGTGAGTTTGACACAGGTAGTGGTGCAACGACACAATGTTTGAACGACACACACACACACAATCACCCAAACCGACTGACCGTTCACGATGCGAGCGACTGCCTTATCAACGGGATCGTCAGGCGCGGGGCGGTACGTGCGCAGTGGAGATGAGGCACGTCCGCTCGTCGCTGCAGACAGCAGATTGGGGTTGATAGCACGGTGAGACAAAGTGAGTTGGGTGTTACTGGTGACGGTGGAAACAGTAACAGCGCAGACACGCACATAAATATAGACACACACACACACACACACACACACACACACACACACACACACACACACACACACACACACACACACACACACACACACACACACACACACGCACGCACGCACGCACGCACGCACGCACGCACGCACATTGCTTGCGTGGGGATTTGGAAGCGCTCGGGGAGGGCTGGCGGGCTGCGAGCTGGTCCCTGAGCGACTGGATGGTGCGCTCCTGCTCGCTCATCTTCGCCTGGTCTTCCTCAGCCCGCGACCGCAGACCATCCAGCTCTTCACGCAGACGCGCGGCCTCCTCCTCAGCAGCGGCGGCTGCAGGTGTGTTGATGTAAGCGTGCGGATTTGCGCATGAGAGCGTGATCAAAACGCGCCAATCAAACCAATGTCAAAAGAAGGCGATCCTCTGTCCTTTCTCACCTTACACACACACACACACAAACACACACACACACAAACACACACACACACACACACAAACACAAACAAACAAACAAACACGACACAGCACAACAGTACTGTACCTTTCGCCTTCTCCTCCTGTGCCTCCTGTGCCTGTGCGTCAGCTTGTGCCTTGTCTTGCTCGGCATCCTCCTTCTTCTTCTTGGCTTCTTCTTCTTCTTCCTGCTCCTGCTGCTTCTGGTCTGCGAGCGCCTTGTCGGTGAGGTTCGCCTTCGCCTCTGCAAGCTCCTTCTGCGCCTGCGACAACTCCACCTCAAGCTGCTGCCGCGCCAGCTGCTCTGCGTCCGCCCGCATACACGCGTCCTCCAGCTTGTCCTCCAGCTGCTGCAGCGTGGAGGGGTCAATGGCGGGGGCAGCGGGCCTGCTGCTCTTCTGCTCCTCCTCCTTCAACTTGTTCTCGCTCTCCTTCGCACGCTCCTCAAGCTCCTTCACTTGCTGTCGCAGACGGTCGTTCTCCGCCTGCGCCGCGTTGAGTGCTTCCTTCGCCTTCTCCGCTTCAGCAGCAGCGGCGGCAGCAGCAGCAGCAGTGGCCTCGGCATTCGCATCATCAGAACTCGCCGCACCCGTTGCCTCACCAGCACCAGTCGTCGTCGTCTTCTCCTCGTCCTTCTCCCCTTCCTGCTGCTGCTGCTGTTCAGCCTGCGCGTGCTCAGCCATTTCCATGTCCTCGTCAGCGGCGAGCGCTCGCATCTGCTCCTCCGTCAGGCTGCTGCCCAGCACAACAAAGCTCTCATCATCAATGATGTCTGCCTCCTCACCGTCATCCTCATCCTCCTCATCATCGGCAGCACCAACAAGACCAGCAATGCCGTTGGCGTGGCGGTGACCATCATCATCACCACCAGCCTCTGCCTTGCTCGCCCGCTTCAGCTGCAGCTTCAACCGCGCCACCTGCTCAGACAACGCCTCGTTCTCCTTCTCAAGCTCTGACACGCGCGCTCCACTGGCTGCAGCTTGTGGTGTCGTCGTTTCATGCTGCTGTTCCTTTGGCGTGTCCTCTTCTTCCCTCTTCGTTACTGCCTCATCTTGCTGCTGCTGCTGCTGCTTTTGTTGGTTTCCAGTCACTCCCTTTCCCTCTTGCTCTTGTTCCCCCTCTTCCTCTTCTTCATCCTCTTCCTGTACAGAGGCGAGTTGCTGCTGCCCGCCACCTACCACAACAGCCGCCTGCTGCTGCTGCTGGTGTTGTTGGCGCTCGCGTTGCTGTTGCTCGCGGTGTTGCTGTTGCTCTCTGCTCCGCTGCGCATCCTGCTCACGCGCTACACTCTCCGCCTGGCGCGTCTGGTACGTGATGGCTCCGAGCGGCTCAACGGTCAGCGTCACCTCATCGCTGTCCTGCAGCAGCGCTGTCGCCTCGTCCAGCGTCTTGCCGCGCATGTCAACGCCGTTGGCTTCAAGCACGCGGTCCGACGGGAACAGCAGGCCTGTCTCCGCCGCCGGCGAGTTGGGGATGATGTTGGCAATGGTCAGCACACCCTCGGGCGCGCTCGTCAGCGTCAGGCCAAGGGTGTTGTTGGCGCCGCCACGCCTGAACGTCACGCGGCGCAGGACGTTGCGTGCAACAACGAGCACCAGCTCCGCGTTTTCGCTGACAGCGTCGAGCACGCCCTTGTGGTCCGCCTGTTCAACGCACCGCCCGCTGATGGCCAACACGACGTCCCCGGCGCGAATGCCGGCCTCCGCAGCAAACGAGTCCTCGCCAACGGACTTAACCACCGTGATGTTGTCGTACTTGCGCGTCTCCAGCACAAGCCCGAGCCGGGTGCTGGACTTGCGAAGGCGGAACACCCGCAGCTCGTAAGGGCCGTGCGCTGGGTGGTCCACGACGGTCGATGGGTCAGAGGGGGCGCGGCCATAGTGCGGGTAGCGGTCAGCAAGCACAAGCTGCACGCGCGGGCTCTGCGACAGAATGTCGCTCACCTCCTCCGCTGTTGCCGCCGTCACATCCATGTGGTTGATGCTCAGAATCACGTCGCCAACGTGCACGTTGCCCGTTGCAGCGGCAAGGCCACCCGGTGTAACTGTCTTCACCACGGTGCCCTTGTCATCCGTGGACACCGCGAGCCCAAGGCGCGTGCCAGGCTGCTTGACAAGGTCAACCTTGCGCAGAATGGCGGGCGGGAGATGCGTTGCTGTTGGCGGTGCGCTCGGGATGCTCATGCGCTGAGCACGAGCACCGCTGGCGGCGCGGCCAGGTGCAGCGCCACTCGACACACGACGCGGCTGCTGCTGCTGTTGCTGTTGTCGTCGCTGCTGTGGCTGGTCTGGCTGGCTGGCCAGGGCGCCGGGCACAACAGCTGGGCGCCGCACCGTCACCTGCACGCTAAGCTTGTTGGCAAAGTGCTTCAGCACGTTGGTGGCCTCCCCATGCTCCACATCTTGGCCGTCCACCTTCATCACGCGGTCGTCAGGGCGCAAGCCCGCTGTAGCGGCGGGGGAATTGGGCACAATCTCCAGCACGTGCACGCCATCCTTGCCCTCGATCTTGCGCAATGTCAGGCCCCATGCAATCTTGGCTGTCTCGCGCGTGAGGAGGCGTGTCGCCACATCCTGTTCGGGAAAGTCGTCGGCAACAACGAGCTCCAGCCTGTTGCCCGTGGACGCCAGGGCATCACGCGCCTCCTCAGGCATCGGGTGCAGCATGCTCTTGCCGTTCATCGCAAGCACTGCATCCCCAGACCGCAGCTGTGTGTTGGGAAGGGGGAGCGAAGGTGGCAGGGGTGGGGATTTGCGAAACAAGAATGGCGGATGTGAGCAACGCGGATGTGACTGCTTGCAGGCAAGCAGTGGCAGGCGGAATCGACACAACAAACACACACACACACACACACACACACACACACCAAATCAAGCAAGACATGTGTCAAGCGTCCACTCACCCTGCCGTCCTTTGCGGCAATGCCGTTGTCGTGCAGCTTGGTGATGATGACACCGTGCGCCTTGGATGTCATGCCAATCTCAACGCCAAAGTGCTCCCCATCACCACGCACAAGCACAACCTGTTGTGATCGTCGTCAAGCAGTGATTTGGGTGAGATGTGTATGTTTGCGCGCGCGCGCGCGCGCGTGTGTGTGTGTGTGTGTGTGTGTGTGAGCGCGCGCACGCGGGTGTGTTGGCTCAACTGAGAGTCAACAACACTTGTAAGCGTGCAAGCAAGCGCCACCGCTGTTAAAACCCACTGCAGTTCAAAATGCCTTGCCTGCAGGCAATAGCTTCTCTCACCTTGCGCAGGCCTGGTGCGCGGTACTCGTGGTTCCTGCGTGCCTGTGACATGCGCCGGGTCATCTCAACGCCCTCCGGTGACAGCGGCGGTGCTGGGCTCTCGGCCTGCAGGGGTGGTGGTGGCGGTGGTGGTGGTGATGGTGGTGGTGTGAGAAGGATGCATGCACGTGTTGCCTTCATACACATGTTGTGGTGTCTTCATACAACATTGCTGGTGTGTCGTTTGCGTGTGATTCACATGCGGCCGTTGACTACATGCATGCATGCATGCAGGCAACGCACCACCACGACAATGTCGCCCTCCTGGGAGAAGAGGCGGGTCATGTCCTCATTGCTCAAACCAACAACACGAACGCCGTTCACTGACAGAATCTCGTCATTCACCTAGCAGTGTTTGAGTGAATGTGAGTGAGCGAATTTGTGTGTGTGTGCGAACGTGCGAGTGACTGAGTTTGCGTATACGTCAATGTGTGTGAAAGAGGCATCATCAAGTGTTGTGAACCCCTCACATAGCCACAGCACAAACAACACCAACAGCACAAACAACACCATTGGCAACAGAAACGCAGCAGCCTCAACACAGCATGTTGCATCTTGCACCACCGACCTGCAGCATGGAGTCGGATGCGACAGAGTCAGGGACGAGCTCGTGCACATACGTGCGCCCGCCCTCGGAGCGCAGCCGGATGCCAAGCGTCTCGTTTGGCCTTTAGAGTTTTGCAAAGCGAGGGGACAATTCACAGAAGCGCATGAATACGTGAGGTCGCGCCAACGGGAAAGGTGGCATGAAGAGAGCGGTAATTGAAAGGGAGGCAACAGCAACGCGAGCAGCAACAATGTCCACGCTCCCCATCGCTCCCTCCACACCACGCACACATGCACACACACACGCACACTCACACACACACACACACACACATGCACACAAACACACACACAAAACAAACACAACGCAACACGACACCTCTTGCGCAGGATGACGGTCTGCCGCTGCTCGTTGCGCTTGGCGTTGGAGTCAAACTTGATGGTGCAGGTGCTGCGGGTGTTGAGAGCCTTGACAATGTCCGCGTGTGGCGTGTCAACGACACTCTTGCCATCAAGCGCAAGCAGCCGGTCACCGCGCACAACGCCCTGTCGGTGATGGTTGGAGCATGTAGACGGAAACATGAGTTTCAAGAAAAAGGTGCAAGCCGTCAAAACACCGATGACAGAGAAAGAAAAGGTCAGAAACAAAGTCAGGCACATCCATTCCCAACCAAACACATCCGTCACCATCACCACTTCAAACACGCCAATTCTCTTTCGAAGGGCTGGGGGGGGGACAAAAAAAAAAAAAAGGAAACACAAGAAGTAAGTTCTCCCTTTTTCACTTAACTCCCCGCTTGACGTAATCCCCATCACCAACCCCTCCCCCCTCCTCTCCCTCCCTCTCGCACTTGAGGTACGCACGTGCTTCTCTGCGAGGCCGCCTGGAATGACCTCCTCCACAATGGCACCGCGGTTGTAGTTGTCGCTGGGGCGCAGCCGCATGCCCAGTCGCGCACCCTCGCTCTTCTCAAACGAAATGCTGTTCACGCGCCTGAACGACTGCACACGTCCGCGGCGAGCACCACCAGCACCAGCCGGTGGTGGTGCCTGCGTGCCCTGCTCGCTGCCCTCAGTGAACACATCGGCTGCTTCCTCCTCCTCCTTGGCCATGCGCTCGAGTCGGCGTGATGTGCGGCGCGCCATGGCACCAGACGTGCACATGGGGCAGCGCAGCAGCGTGAGCGTCGTCTCCGTCTTGTTCGCCAGCATCTCGGCAACGTCGTTCTTCGTCACCTGGCCAGCCATCTGGTGTGTGTGTGTGTGTGTGTGTGTGTGTGTGTGGGGGTGTGTGTGTGTGTGTGTGTGTGTGTGTGTGTGTGAGCGAGTAACAAGCACCGCAGCACAAGGTAAGACAGCGCAAGTAACCAACACCATCACTACCAATGACAACAACCACAACGACAACTAAACAAATCAAGAACGCCCAAAAACACAAACACAAATCAATATGTAAACCACACGCCCTCCTGCAACCAGTACAACCCCCTTTGAAGCGTGCGCGCCTCACCTTCCCGTCCACGAGGAGAATGATGTCGCCCGTGTGCATCTTGCCCGAGCGCTGTGCCGGGGAGTCGGGCAGGACCTCGCCAACCACAGCACCCGACGTGTTGTGCAGCGGTGCGAGGGCCAGGCCAAACGACGACGAAGGCGACTCGCGCTTCAGGTGCACGTCCTCTGTCTCGCCAGAGAGGACAGACAGCTCAAACTCAGACCCCGTCGACAGCAGCTGGATCGCCTGTGAGCGTATGTGTGGAAATGTGTGTGTGTGTGTGTAATTTGTGTGTGTGCATGTGAGTGAGTGAGCGAATGAGTAAATGTGTGTATGAAGATGTGCGTGTGAGTGAGTGAGTGCATGTGTGTGTGTGTGTGTCATTAGCAATGAATCTGGCAGTTCCTCATCAGAAATGCAGCACAGCAAGTTTAAAACACACGGCTTTCACATGACACATTGCCCAACCTCCCTCAACATCTTCAACCACATGTGTCGACAACAACAACAACAACAACAACAACAACACCTCGCTGTGGGGAGCGGAAGAGACGTCTGTGCCGTTGATGGCGACAATGCGATCACCAGCCTCAATGCCCTGATCGTATGCGCAGCCATCAGGCAGCAGTGCGTACACCTGCACACCAGTCTGCTCCGGCGTGTATGGCAGGAGAACAAGACCAAGTCGCCGCCCATCCCGCTTGACAAGGCGAACAGTACGGGGTGTCTTTCCTTCTGTCGTAGCAGCTGCACCAGCTGCGCCAGCTGTTGTAGTTGGTTCGGTGGCGGTTGCTGCTGACGCTGCCGCTGCCATCTGCGTGGCGGGTGTCTCCTGCTCTGGCTCGTTCATCTGCGCGGCCACCAGCAGGGTGACGTCATTTGAGCTCTGGATGGCGGCGCGAAGGTCCACCGGCTGCTTGTACACGTGCTGCCCGTTGATGTTCAGGATGATGTCGTTCTCCCGCAGCGTGTTGCTCATCGCCGCCAGCTGGTTCGGCACAATCGTCTGGATCTTGGCGCTGGCAACAATCAAGCACGGCGGAAGCAAGGAGGGAGGGGGCGTGTGGGGAGGGGGAATGCGATGACGTGGGAGGGGGAGTGAGACGGTGTGGGGGGGGGGGGTGATTGCCATGGCGCAATCAAAAAACAAGTACGCGCACGTTCACACACGCATACACGCACACACACAGTCGTAACACAAGCACGAGCTGCCCCCGATGCCAGTACTCACACATAGTTCTTGAGGGAGAACTGGAGGCCAAAGTGCTGCGTTGCGCTGCTGCGGTGCAGTGTCACCTGCATGAAGCGAACCAATTCGAGGTGGTGGCGAGAATGCCGCAGCACACACAGCGGTGAGTGACAGGCGCACACAAAGACATGCGCACACGCAAGCACGTCAAGCACACGAAGAGCAGCACACACAGCGGTGAGCACAAGCGCATTCATGGACACGCGACCACGCACAAGCGAAGACAACACGGCATGGCGCAATGACGCCACGCACCTTGCGCATATCAACGGCGTTGGGGAAGGCAGCGCGGTCCTCATCAGTGACATCGAGAACGGTGACAGAGGAGCCTGGGCCGCGTGTTGCGTCATCTTCAACGCCCTCGTCCGGTGGAAGTGTGGTCCGCTCGCCCGTCGCGG